TAAAATGAGGCGAAATTCTTAACTTGAAAAAAAAAAGCAAAATTCAGTTTTAATACATTTTCCATTTATCCTTTTTATATTAATTTTCTTATTAGCTAGTGGAACCAAACCTATGATTCTATATATCCAATACGACAATTGCATAGGGTATGGGGCATAATTTAAGATCAAAAAAATTTCGAAAAACGTAAAAAAGAGAGCGAGCAGAAGCCAGAAAAAGCCCAGCAGTGTGCAAAAAGCGCATCGACGCATTAAAAACATCACACACACACACACATGTAATTCCAAAGTAGCCTCAACAATAATAACAACAAATATGCAATGTAAACAAACGAGCAGAAGCTTTCGAGCTTTCACGCCTGTTGCTACGACGCTGACGCTTTGAGCGCTGAAAGCAACAGCAGCAGCAGCGACGTCAACAGCGGCAGTGGCTGCGGCGGCTTTTACATTTCTTTGGCGACCGGTGGCCAAAGCTGGAGTCAGAGTCGAAGTCGAACTCGAAGTCGAAATCGGAGACTCGCCGACCGCAGACTAAAAGATTCAAGACTTAAACAAGCGTCGACCATTGTTCGCATAGCACGTGCCGCGCGCGCGTCTCTCTTTCAACAGCGATTCTTGCCGGCAGCAACAAACAGTTAACACAAATTAACCGTTGCCTCAAAATGTTGCATCAATTGTGTTAGTTAGGCGTGCATATACCCACTGGTACTATACGTTATTGTTATTATTTTTTGTTGATGCATTATTTTTTGTTTTTGTTGTTTTTTTTTATTTCCTTCGTATTCATTGCAAAAGTCGCGGATCAAACGTTTTCGATATTTGTAAAGCTTGTGCTATTCATGCACGCATATCGATGTATGTGTAAGCGCGTGTGTGCATGTGAGAGAGATAGTGCGCGTGTGTGTGTTATGTTTACGCGATATACAGTAATTTGTGAGCTTATCTCTTGCATCTTCTTGGATAAAGCAAACATTCTGAGTAAGTTGCACTTTGATTACATTTGGAATATGAAAGTCGAGAGATAATAAGAAAATAGGTGAATTACAAAATATGTAGAAATGCATACATGAAATTAACTTAATTAAAATGTAAGCCAAGGCTTTTATTAAATATTGGCAATGCATCGATTGATTTGATTTCATAAACAATTATTGCTGATTATAAACTACATTTACATCGATTGTATATGTATGCATATGCTTTACATATATTTTTTAAATTTTAGTCAATTTGTAGTATTAGAAAGTATTGTCATATAAATGCAGATCAAATCGTGCGATGATCTATCAGAACTTCTCTTTTTGGCTTAATAAAAGTGAAAGTTATTTTGCTATAATCCAATTAAAATGATGCCCAATAGTTTCTAGGGCGTGTCTGGCAGAGATTTGGATAGACAATTAGGCATTTCTCTTAACCATATTTGATTGAGCCACAAGCTGTGATAATTGTACCATACTCRGGTAGAGAAAGATCTGTGATTATTTATTTATAATTCAAGGTAATTTTCTAATTTGAAAGTCGTTTCTAATTCGAATATATAATAATACAAACAAGCTATTAGATCTGTAGTTACATTTGTAGTTCTTAGACTCATTATCAACACTATGGTATATTATGACAATAGTTGATTAAGTGGTCTACCATCCGATAACAGATCTATATTGTCTATAAGCTTTAATTAGCCCAAGTCTAGGATCATAACAAGTATTACAATAAATCATACAATTCCTAGACCACTTCTATAGATAGTATCTATATATAAATAATTCAGAGAACGTTTATACCATGATATCCAACTGCTCTATCGAACACTTTTCTTCAATATACATGTGTATCTGTTTACACATATGTACATACATATATGTATATCGTGTCGATACCTTTGCCTCATCTATATAACATCTGCAATACCTTAGAAATCGTATCATTATTGTAATAGTAATGGCATGTATGATTTCAGAGTATATACTCCATACATATCTACATATACACATATATGAACGGGCAGCTATCCATATCCAT